GACCACTCATTACAGTTATTTTCAACAAGTACCCTTTCCATGCTTCAGTTTTCAGTAAAGTGGGATAAAAACAGTTATGTTTACAATCACAGGTTGTTTCCAGGATGAATACATGCGTGTGTGTGTGTGTGTCTGTGTGTGTGCGCACATGCGTGTGCTGGTCACATCACGAGCAATAAATGTTAGCAATTACTATTAGTATTATAATAGTAATTAACTAGAGCTGTATAACTAGAAACGTACATTAACCAGAATACTGGCAACTCTCAGATTCCACACAAAAAAAGCCGGCTAACAAACAGCAACGAGCACTCAATCGTTTACACTCAATTGTTGCTGCTTTATCAATTCCACTTTCCTTTACCTTAAGAATCCAGAGCCATCATTTTCTACAATCAAAATAAAAAGATTTTGTTCTCAAGCTATTCTGATTAGTTGAGGCTTTATGTTTAAATTCTTTGAAAGTTCATGTCAAATACACAAAAGTTCTCCCTAACGGGCAAATTTAGAATTTAATTTTTAAATAAATTGGGAATAAATGTAAGTGAAAGGTGAGATTAATATTTCACTCATATGTGGAATCTAATGAAAAAATAAACAAACAAAATAGAAACAGACTCATAGATACAGAGAACAGACTGACAGCTGTCAGAGGGGAGGGGTACAGGGGCTGGGTGCGAACGGTGAAGGGAGTAAGCAAATGCAAACACACACACACACACACACACACACACACACACACAATTCACAGACACAGACAACAGTATGGTGGTCACCAGAGGGAAAGGTGGGAGCTGGTAGGAGGAGGCAGAAGAGGGGAAAGGGAAGATAAATGGTGATGGAAGGAGACTTGACTTGGGGTGGTGAACACACAATACAACATACAGATGATTATAGAATTATATACTTGAAACCTATATAATATGTCACCCCAATAAGTTCAATAAAAATTAAAAAGAAAATGTCTCATTAAAGAATAAAAATTATTTCCTGCTTACAGCCTTTATCTTTGTAACCTTTGAAAAAATTTAATAGAACTTTAAAATCAGCATTATGCACCTGTCTGGTGGGAATAAAACTGCCTTCAATGATGTACAGAATGTCTAGCAGATAATACAAATCATTATCTTAAGGAAAAATCACTAAAATGTACATCATTTTACTGTAAATATAAAAATAGCAATCAACAGCAAAATCTAGATTATGAGAAACTGCATAGGATAAACACTTTGGTTTCTTCAACAAATAAATTGTAAGGGAGAATTTAAAAATAAAGTTAAGAGGAAACCAAAAAATTCCGAGACATGTTTAAATTCATTTAAAAAAAAAAAGACCTAAACAGGCAAAACTTAACTACAGGGATACATGCATGGGCAATAAACTATGACAAAAAATGAGAAAATGATCACCATAAAGTAGGAGAGTGTCCAAAAGTCTCACAAGAAGAGGAAGGAGGGGCTTGGGTTTGGGCAGCAGCACCTGGAATACTGAACAAGCTCGAATTCTAACTGGAAGAGTGTTCACCTGTAGTAATTTCTGTGTCAGTGCTATATTTTACAATGAAAAGATTTTGAAAATAAAACTACAATCTAAAAGGGTCACCAATGCAGCTACAGTGTATTTTTTATGCAAATGTATTCCTTTTCTCACATTCATACTCCCACCTTAAATCAAATGCATTGCACCTGAATTTTCACAAATAAGGATTCCGTAACATCTGAGCAGAGACATTTACTAGACTGATTTCTAACCACGGTTTAAATCTGATTTGATAATGGTGTTGATTTTAATTTTGCATCCTCAAAATAAATATAACCCTGTTTGTGCCAATGGACAAAAAATGTTCTTTCACACAGAGTTTGGCTTCGATCATTTACTTTAGTCCCAGGAGAAAAGCCAATTTAAAAATTCACAGGCTTTTAGGAAAGGTGTTATGGGTTGAACTGTATTCCCCTAAAATTCATATGTAGACACCCTAACCTCCGGTACATCAGACTGTACATATTTGTACAGAGTTTTTAAAGAAGCAATTAAGTTACATTGAGGTCCTCTGGGTAGGTCTTAATCCAATCTGACTAGTATCTTTCCAGGAAGAAGAAATTAGGGCACACAACACACAGAGGGAAGTCCATGTGAAAACACAGAGAGAAGACAACCAAGGAGAAAGGCCTCAGAAGACACCAGCCCTGCTGACACTTTGATCTTGGGCTTCTAGTCTTCAGAACTGTAAGACAATAAATTTCTGTTGTGTAAGCCACGTTGTCTGTGGTCCTTTGTTATGGCAGCCCTAGCAAACTGATACAGAAGGAAAATGAAAAGTTTAAAAAAAAAGCTACAATCTTACAATTGTTTTGACTCATACTATATAGTGAAAAGAAAAGCTTAAGAAAATTGTGAGTGAGTCATTAGTAAAGAAAGGAGAACTGACAGATTCCATGTAAAAAGAAAACACCCCAGACAGCTAAGCACAGAGGGCAAGACACAAGGAACCAGCAGGAAAGCAACTGGCTACTGACTAAATTGATGGGCAAGATTCAGTACTTTCAATGTGGTTCCTGGAAAAAAAGCCAGAGGAGAATTTTGACTTTGATTCTCTAGTTCATTTTTTAAATGAACTAGAAACAAATGGAGGTGGTGGGTGAGATCAAAGTGGTTTTCTTGAAGGGAGTAATTTCCTCTGGCCCACAGGTCTGGATGAACTTTGGATTTATCATTTCCCTGGTTTGATAGGGTTGGGGGTTAAGCAAACCATCAACCAAAAAAAATGCAATTCTCAGGCTGCAAAATCAATGATTGTGCAGTAAGGTCAGTGCCCTGGGTGTTATAGGTACCCATGGAGCCCAGTGATCTCTGAGTTGAGTGTGCTTTGCTGATGAAGTACGTTTCCTGAACAGAGATATTACTGTAGAGACCATAGATCACTGTTAGCTGGATCTGCGCTCCATGCTCCTACGTGCTCTTCACTGTCCCACGGAGAGACAGAAATGGAAACAGATACTGAACTAACTGCTTGTCTCCTTTCTTTAATTTAACAAAAAATAAGATACACTCTGCAATCAGAACAGCATCATACAAAATTGAGAAGCGAAGCTAAACAAACAGGGATCAGAATAAAAGGAGCCCAGAGACTCTAAATCTAGGTAATTATTTTTCAACCAGAAGCAAAGTAGCTCCATTCTCCTATGTCATAAGTAGAAGAGTCCTGACATTCTTTGTACAATGAGGCCGTGATATAAATCAACCAACCATCCAATTAACCTTAAATTCAGAATAACTGTCTGGAGAAACTGGAGTAATTATTATATCTAGGTCATTTATTAAAAAATTAACATATCTTGTTTTAAATCTTTATCAGTTAGAATTGTATAGATATGTAAAAAGGTATTTATTGGATAAAATGTCCCAAGGTCTGGAATTTGCTTTTTTTTGGGGGGGGGGGGGGGGAATCTGCTTTTCAGTACTACACACAGATGCAAGTAGAGATAGAAAAGATTGTCAAAATGTTTATACCTGTTGAAGCTGGATAATGGGTATGTGGAAGTTCATTATAGTATTCCTTTCACTTCTGTATATGTTTGAATTTTTCCATAATAAAAGATTTTCCTTTATTTAGTTATATGTAATTGGAAACTTAGTTTGTTTCATGTTGTCACTTGAATGGGACAATGTAATTTATTTTAGTTATTTACTTACCTAGAGTCTAATTTGAAAAAGAAATTTTATGACAGTAATATATTTAAATTGAAAAATAGTGAATCTGAGAAAATGTTTCTTAAATAAAAAGAAGAAAAGCAGTGAAGACAGGCTTTGAGAGAAAATAACCTGGGAAAATGTTTACAGTATGATACAATGTTTACTTTTTAAAAGTAAGCTACAATGTTGTATATATGGGATACCAGATATGTAAAAAAAAAGGTAAGTATGTGCATAGGTCAAAACAACCCTATAAAGAAATATACCAAAATGAAAAAACAATGTATTTCTCAGAGTTTAACAGTGATATTTTTATTTTTTGATATATTTATCTCTAATTACAAGTTTTCTAAAATGAGTGTGTATCAAGTGTATAATCAGAAAAAGAAAGTAAATTTATATAAATGTCAATATAATTCCGACAAGACAGAACAGATAGTCCGAACACTGTTCAGAAGAAAATAAACAATTAGCTAAAACACACTCACTAAACATAGGGTCTAAAGTAACCCTTTGGCGGAGTTTGATCTCATATGCCCTAAGATTATATCATCAGCGGATCAGAAAAAAATACACACATTCTTTTTTTAATACTCACTCTTGCTTATATGACTTTTCATATGCTTAATGATTTTTTAAAAAGAAAGGAAGGGAGGATGAGGAGAGAGATAAACATCAATCAGTTGCTTCCCATAAGTGGCCCGATCAGGATCAAACCTGCAGCCTTTTGGTGTAAGGCTGCAACCAACTGCACCACCCAACCAGGGCTGCATACATTCTTATGCCTATAATTGGAGAAGGCTTTTCTTTGTGTGAAATCTTTTCAGAACTTACCTGACAAGAACTAGCATCTTGAGGTTTCTGCCTCCAGGGATTTAAAACTCCCTGGGAGTTCCCAGTAGACCTAATAAATTTACAATTTTACCAGGGGAAGTCATTCTCAACTAAATGAAAAGCTATGTACCTACCCTGGACCCAAGATTTCACCTCTTGGTTCTCAGGGCTAACCTTAAAAACAAATTTCAGAAATTATTTTCTGTGATAAAATCGAAAAAAGAACCATGTGAAGCAATATTAACTCTATAAAACATACCTCCAATGACTCCTACAGTGCACTAAGAATTATTTTTCTGATAACTAAAGGCTTTATGTTTTTTCCACACCATGGGTAATACACTTCCTTGATGAATTCTTTAATATAAAAACCCTAATACTGTACCTTAGAAGTATCAATAACAGTTAAAATCATAATCAGTATTTAAAAGATTCTGAGAAATTTCCCCCAGGGGGAGAAATATGTTACTTACTTTAACTTCCACAGTCTTCCCTCCATGTTCAATGTGCCTCTCTATGTATCCGGAGGACAGCAAATCACTGCAACAACAGAAGAAAGCATGATTCAAAAAGGACTTAAAAATGGAAAGCATCTGGAAATCAAGTTTACACATACCAGCTTTACTGAGTCTTTAACTTTCAAACAAAATTCTTTAATTTTAAAACAAAAATAAACCTTTATAGGTGTCTCTCTCTCACACATACACACAAACATACACACAGCCTAATACTTCTAAAACAGGTGTCAAACTCATTTTCACCATGGGCCACATGGGCCTTGAGGTTGCCTTCAGAGGGCCGAATGTAATTTTGGGACTGTATAAATGTGACTACTCCTTAACAGTTAAGTGAGAGCTCGGCGCTGCCTCTGGGTAGAAACAAGGTAGAGGGCTGGATTCGGCCCGAGGGCCTTGTGTTTGCCACCTGTGTGCTAAAGGGTTATGAGGGCGAACTGACTAAACCTCCTGTCCCCCGCTGCTTAGCAGAGCTGACTCCACTGATCTTGTTCAACAGTTCTAGGAAGCTGCCATAAGCACACAACTGTTTAAAGACATCTTATTCTTCCCTTTGTTACTTCAGCTTTTTATCCAATAGTTTTAACTTGCTACCATTGTGCACCATTTCTTTATGTGTTGTATGTGACATTTTATCTAATAAAACATTGGCTTCTATCACAAAAATAAAAGGGGAAGGGCAAAGAAAGATAAAAGAAATTAAAAGGAATATACCATCAGCAATTTAAAATGATTCTCTTTTAAAATCTCTTTTTAAAAGAAACAGCAACCTCCTTATAGAATTTTAAATTACTTACATCATCTTAAATATATTTCTCATTAATTCCATGTGAAAAATTTCCCTTTAATAGAGGTGTCTACCCCAAGACAATTTCCATAAGAAGTCCTTAAGTCTTTATATTTTAAAACACTAAAATATAAATAAAATTAACATTAATAAAAATAATACATGAAGCTATAAATTTCTGTGGATCCTGAGAATGAAGATACCAACTAAGGCTCCTTAGTGACTCACTGGGCTCAAATTTTAAAACAGAACCTAGCAGCCATTTCTAAACAGAGGCCTCTTATTGCAAACCACACTTCAAGGTAAAGCCTGCACTGGGTATCTGCCATCTGAGCCAGCCCTTATAAAGCAGTTTATGGAATCCTATTTCAACCAATAAGACTGAGGCTTCCCCAGATCAATTGGAACTGTGCAACTCTATCCGCATTAGCATCTTCACTGACCTATCAGAGTGGCTCCATTCTGACCAATCAGGACAGTGCCTTTTGGAACAATCGCACTGCAAGGACTTAGAGTCCTCACTGGCAAGAGGATGAACCAATCAAGAACTGGGGTGGGGACTTGACTTTATTTAAGTCAGCTCTCCTCTGGCTCAGGGAGCACACTTTTCCTTTACATTGAAGACTGAAAACTGTGTTTCTCTGGCTGGAGTTGAAACACTTAAGATGAGACTCCCAGAGACTTCTTGCCGGACCAGAATGAATAGTGCAAGTAAGGCAGAGCAGAAGTGTCTAGCCCAGGAGTGTCCTTGCCTGAGGGCTGCTGTACCCCGGAGCTCATCTCACAACCCTGCTGTTCCACAGCCGTGCTGTTTCAAAACTGAGCTGCTTACACTGAATAAAGTTCCCTTCTTCACTATCTCCCAAACTGGGCATTCCTGTTGGCGCTGAATTGGCGGCACCCATCACTTGGTATTTCTAAATCTACAACTCTATGGTTAGACATTCAGCCAGATAAGAAAATCTTTTTCACAGTGTTCTGAAGGTCACCAAGCCAAAACTGTCCGATTATTTTTTTTAAAAAAGTGTATTTCTGAGCTCAGAGCCCTGCCATAATAAATACCATACTTAGAACTGCTTGAAATGTCAACAGAATGATCAAACAAGAGTTACATTACCAGAGGCACCATAATCAGCTCCTATAGTATCTGATGCTTACATTACCATTTGGGAAACCTATAATTATAGTCTAAGTCCTTGTTTCATTTGTCTTTGGAATACACTTTCCCACTGACTTTATACAGGGGGAGCAGAAAGGATGCTCTGAGCTGCAAGCTGCAGAAAACACAACTAGAAGTGGCTCAAACAGTCAGGACATTTATATCTTATTTCTTGTCAGAAATTTCAGGGCAGGTGTAATATAGATTTGCTTTTGTGAATCTTCAACTCTGTTAAATGAACAAATTGGAAGTTTATAAAATACAGCAAAATTAACATGTTTTAAATATAGATAAGTAGCTAATAAGCAAAAGTCTGTTAGATGTGGGCAAAACGCATTAGATGTCTATTGTATTAGTGAGAAAATCATGTATGTGTTTAACAGAAAGATACAAGCTTTCTAGCCAAGATGGAGCCATAGGTAGATTACACTGTACCTCCTCGCACAACCAAAAGAACGGACAACAACAAATTTAAATACAAAAAATAACCAGCACTGCCAGAAAATTGAACTGTATGTAAGTCCAACAACCAACCAGTTAAAGAAGAAACATTCATTCAGACTGGTAGGAGGGGCAGAGATGGGCTGCCACAGTGGAGAGGACCCATGACCAGGTGGCGGCTGGTGGACCAGGCAGTACCACATTTGTGAGTGGATAAGCCAGGAGGAACAACTGGGCAGCAACACAGACTGTGCAATCCAGGGGTCCTTCGCAGGAAAAGAAAGCCTCAAAACCTCTAGCTGGAAAAACCTGTGGGGGTTCCAGCTGTAGGTGAAACTCCCAGCCTCACAGGAAAGTTCACTGGAGAGACCCACAGGATCCTGGAATGTATACAAACCCACGCTGGGAGTCAGCACCAGAGGGGCCCACTTTGTTTGTGGGTAGCAAGGGAAGTGACTGAAAGTTGCCCAGACTCGAGCAAGGGCATTGTTCTCTCTCCGACCACTTCCCTACAGACAGTGCCATGAGGCAGTGACGTGGGTTGCCCTGCCCTGGTGAATACCTAGGGCTTCACCACTTACAGCTTAACAGGTGAACCCAAAGAAATATGGCCCAAATGAAAGAACAGATCAAAGTTCCAAAAATAGAATTAAGTGATGAAAATATGCCCAACCTATCTGATGCAGAGTTCAGAACACTGGTAATCAGGATGCTCACAGAAATGGTTGAGTATCATCACAAAACAGAGGGAAAGTGAAGGCTATGAAAAGTGAAATAAAGCAAAATATACAGAGAACCAACAGAGAAGGGAAGGACACTGGGACTCAAATCAATGATTTGTAGCAAAAGGAATAAATAAACATTCAACCAGAACAGAATGAAGAAATAAGAATTCAAAAAAAAAAATGAGGAGAGCTTTAGGAACCTCTGGGACAACTTTATGGTTTCCAACATCCGAATCACAGGGGTGCCAGAAGGAAAAGAAGAGAGCAAGAAATTAAAAACTTATTTGAACAAATAATGAAGAAAAACTTCCCTAATTTGGCAAAGGAAATAGACTTCCAGGAAGTCCAGGAAGCTCAGAGAGTCCCAAAGAAGTTAGACCCAAGAAAGCATACACCAAAGCAAATCATAATTACATTATCCAAAATTAAAGATAAGGAAAGAATCTTAAAAGTTTCTCTTGTCTAAATCAAGAGAAAAGAGAAAAGGAGACAGTTGACTACAAAGGAGTTTCCATAAGGCTATCAGCTGATTTCTCAAAAGAAACCTTGCAGGCAAGAAGGGACTGGAAAGAAGTATTCAGTCATGAAAGGCAAGGACCTACATCCAAGATTACTCTATCCAGTGAAGCTTTCATTTAAAATGGAAGGGCAGATAAAGTGTTTCCCAGATAAGGTCAAGTTAAAGGAGTTCATCATCACCAAGCCAGTATTATATGAAATGTTAAAGGGACTTATCTAAGAAAAAGAAGATGATCAAAAGTATGAATAGTAAAATGACAACAAACTCACAACCATCAACAACTAAACCTTAAAAAAAAAAACAAAAAAAAAACAAAACAAACTAAGCAAACAACTAGAACAGGAATAGAATCACAGAAATGGAGATCACATGGAGGGTTATCAGCACAGAAGAGGAATGGAGAGAATGGGAGAAAAGTTACAGGGAATTAGAAGCATAAATGGTAGGTACAAAATAGACAGGGGGAAGTTAGGAATAGTATGGGAAATGGAGAAGCCAAAGAACTCATATGTACAACCCATGGACATGAACTAAAAGCAGGGTGGGGGAAGGGGAAATGTTGGTGGAAGGGGGTGTGCAGGGTGGAGGGGAATAAGGGGGAGAAAAAAAATGGGACAACTTTAATAGCACAATCAATAAAATATATTTTAAAAATAAAATAAAAAGAATTAAAAAAATACTAAATATTAATGAAGCACCTGGGTAATAAGTGTTTATGATATAATAAACATATGAGACACTAAATATCTAGGATATAATATTTATGAAGTCCAATTCAACCACCTATTTCTGACATCCAGAGTTCATCAACTTCCACATTACCAATATTTTGGGCCAGGTTATTCTTTGTCTTGGGAGCACCTTGTACACTGTAGCAAATTCAGCAACATTGATGGCCTCTACCCACTAGATGCCAGTAACATTCTCCCTTTCTCTCTCTCTCTCTCTCTCTTACACACACACACACTCCAGTCATGACAATCAAAAATGTATACAGATATTGCCTAATGTACATGGCGGGGGGTGGCAAAATCACCCTGGTTTAGAACCACTGCTGACACCCATTTGCACCCCACGTTTCTCTGCCCAAAAGCCACAAATAGAATTCATGATTGCTCATCGAGTGAATCGGCAGACTATACAGCTCCTGAAGAGGCATTCTTGTCCCAGTGCATCTCAGCTACAGCAAGTGGGTGTCACTAGCTTGGCCAGCTTCCATCTGTGGGGCTTGCCCAAATCTCAGCACCGGTCCTTGAAAAACTACAGTAGCAGCAGGGAAGGTGGATGCAGCAGAGAGAAAAGCAGGACATATGAACACTGCGTACCCAGGATTAGCTGATGTGGTCCTTCCACCCCACTTACACCCTATCCTAAGTGTGCTGACCTACTCATT